TCTGCATCGACGGCTACTAGGGTTTATAGGTTATTGTTCGACTACATCGGGGGTGGGGATTGGGGTACAAACTTTCTTGTCTAGCCGCGGCGACCCTGGAGTCGCGTCGAGTGGCGGGGGAGGGCGTAGTCATATTCTTTTCTTCCTCATCGTTTTCGTCAAGAACGATGGGTCTTGCACGCTTGCCTGCCGCTAGCGCCCTGGACACCATCTGCACCTCGTCGTTGTCGGCCTCCGGCGACCCGAACGTGCTACTCTAGTACGCCGCTGCACGCTAGTCGTCAAGCGCCTTGTACTGAATGTACTTGGCCCATTTTGCCCGCTGTCAAGCGTCGTCGGAGTCTGCATGATTTATGGCCCAGCGCAGGATGTCCACTAACATCGCGAACTTGGTTGGGTCCGGAACCAGTGTCTTCAGCTCATCCGGTGTAGCCTTCTTCATCACAGCATCGGCCTCCTTGTGCATGTCGTCTATGCTGCTAAAGTTTGAGCACACTTCCATGGTGTGCTCAAACTTCTTGCGGTCACCGAGCGAGCACCCAAGGAAGAAGGCCCTCCATCCAATGCCCCAGGGGAAAGGGTTGGGGTTGGAGTTGGAGTTCATGCCGAGGGGAATGTGGTGAAACATATGGGGTTTTAGTGCGGTGTTGGGTTAGTGGGGTGGGTTAATATAGGCGCGTTAGGCCGATATGAACGAACGCTGAACTTTGAACTGTGTGATGTTCATAATGCAGATGGACAAGGGCAAGGAGGTGATGCCATCAACGAAGAAGGGCAAGGAGGTTGTGCCTCCATTGGTCGAAGTGCCAGTGCAGAATCACCCAAGCCCCAAGCGAAGGAGCTATGGCAACTTTCATCAGGAGGCAGGACCAAACCACTTCTGCAAGGTTATCCTTGCTCTGAAGCTGGAGAGTTTGCCATTGCCTCTGGACTTCAGGAAGCACTTCCCCGCCATCCCTACAGAGTTCAAGCTCGAGACGAACACCGGCTGCGCATGGAGGGTGACGGTGAGGGTGATTAATGATAGGGTCACCCTTGATCAGGGTTGGGCCACCTCCGCCGCCGTTAACCACATCATGATCGGGTACATGCTGACGTTCAAGCTGCTGTCCCCCGACACCATGAAGGTGATCGTCTTCAACAACGAGGGCGTGGAGGTGGTCACCAAGTGCAAGGAGCACGGCAATGCCTTCACCGCGACTGCCAGAGCTCCTGTTGGCCGTTCCTTGTTAGTTCTTGCTTTAAGACTTGAATTTCGTTTAGGAACTTGTCGTACTATGTTGGTTTAAAACTTCTTCTGCGTGGTTAAGACTTATGTTTGTGCCCAAGATTGTTCTATTGCTACTAATTTAGTTGTTAGTAGTTCATGTGTGCTTTTGGTAACCTCATCACATCGAAGAGGAGGTTACTACACAACTATCCTGGATGTAACCAAACAACCGGACTTGTGTTTCCCCTCAAACTAATCCGCAACCAAACAACATGCCTTTTATTTAGCACATTCAGGCTATAAGGGATGCAGGTAATCAATCAACATATGCAGATGTTGACTTTAACGACAAGTATGTAAAGTGCCAAAAAAACAGTGCAGGTAACCAAAGCGCCCATGGATCGTGGATGCATGTGCAACTAGCACGGGACGGGACAAAAGAAGGTAGCAGGTTAGCTGCCAGCTTTTACAATTCATAGAAAAAAAACAGGCACCAATATTTCAAGGAAAACTCTGGCAACTGTCCATGTCCTTCGAGCGAGTGTGAACGGCTGGGACACTCTTCTTGCATGCGTGCAAGCCGACAGTACAGTTCGAGCGAGTGTGAACGGCTGGGACGCTCTTCTTGCATGCGTGCAAGCCGACAGTACAGTTCAATGTTAACCATTGGCAATGGGTTTCCATGCATTCTGCCAACGGTACCAGAACTTAGCTAGAGCTTGAATTCTTTTCCCTTTTTTCGAGATAAAAAGAGCTAACTACTTGAATTCTCAAGCTAACTGCTTAGTAGAAGAACAAACTGGGGCGTCCATAATTTCTCCACGTTGAAAAGAAACTACTCCGGATCAAAATATAAGACGTTTTTGCAGCTCAAAGTGAACTACAAAAACGTCTTAAGATATTGGTACACGAGGGAGTAAGTCTTACAAGATCAAATTGCAAACTCAACTATGAATAGAAGAATACTGCTGTCAAATGGAGAAATATATACAGCTAAGTAAAATAAAGCCAGAATCGATAACCAATACCACACAAGAAAAAGGTGAGAAATGCAACTCGCTACACACCACACTCAGTATCATGATTACGTATCTGACACCTGTGATTCTAATTGTCCAATGCGCAAACCAAATAATTCCCGAGGCAATAAAGAACAGACCGACCGAACCCTCTTATTTGATGGCATATCTAATTCGCCAACCTGTAGCAAAACCAGCAGCTTGGCAACTCAATTATGTGTGTTACATGACTGAAACACTCATCACTCAGCGAGTCCTGCGGCTGTTGGCTGGTTTAGATGGAGAAGATGGATTCTTCTTGGCAAAATCAACAAGATCCTTGAAAAGGGCATCCTCAGGTTTGGGCTGGCGGGATGCTGTCGACACTGATGCGCTCTTCCCATTCTCAGTGTTCCTTTGATTAAGAGAAAGGCTTTCTGTCCGCGTCAGCATCTCATCGTAGCCACCTTCATTGTTCTCACCAGGAAAGCCATGTTGTTGCTCAAAGAACTGCTGTCTTTGGCCATACCTTGCAGGAGGAGGCGGTAGGGAAACTGGAGCTTGAGCTTCCCATGGAGCTTTTGGAAGATCTTCACTAGTTGAAGACGAAGAGAAACCAGGAAGGGCAGTGGGGTTTATGAAGTCATCATCAGGAAGGCTCTCAAGCTTATTCACAGATGGCTCACTCGTAGGACGAGAAGGCATGGAGAAACTGGGTGCTGCAGTTGGGTTTATGAAGTCATCAGGCACATTTTCTGATCTGCTATCATAATTTGGCACTTGATCTGTTTCTGTTTTTGAATGAGATGGTGCAGACATATTGGCTGGGGCCGTTGGGTTGACAAAATCATCTGGTACTTTTTCAGACTTATACGATTCCCCACTTAGATAGTCGACACTGCTTGCCTCTGTGTAAACAGGCCTTTTTGTCAATGGTGGTGGAGGAAGAAGTGGGCTTGGGTATGGCCTTTCATTTCTTGGAACAGAAGACATGTTGCCCTGTGCTGCTGCGCCATCCCTTGCAGACCTATAATTTAGTCATCAGGAACGCAATTTGAGAAAGTGCTAATACTAGTTTTGATGCCGCAGAAACTATCCAAAGCATGGAACACTAACATGGATGAAAAGATAATAATAAAAATATAATGGAAAAGAATACAGCTTACCTGCGGGAAAGCACGGAGAACTCATCTTCTGGTTCATCGTCCTCATGGTGTACATTAAGAAGGGGGGCAAATGAAGCCCCAGCAGGCCGAGGAGGGGCTGTCCCTTGGTTTATGTTACCAGCAACAGGCACTGGTATATTTGGAGAGACTCCTTTTGCTATGTCATCATGACGCTGAAGAACACGCTGCAACTCATCATTTAGTCCTAGAGCCTGAAACAGAAGGCTCTCATCACTGCAGAGGGAATACCAGAAGTCCTGTCACATGACAATGTAAAATGCACAGAAACAAAAAGGCAGAGTGAAAAAATGCATACCCAGTATCGCTAACAAGATCCATCACACGAGCATGATAAGAACGACACTGCCCAACAAGGTCAACAATGACCTCCTCCCTCACACCCTATAACATGAAGCACAATCAAATCGATATTTACAGTAAACAGCACTGGCACATGAATGACATACATCAATAGCCAAAACGTCAAAACATCAGTTCTCCTGAATATCACTTCATGTATCTCATGAATACACTAAACAGAGAAGCAAAAGGGCATACATCGATATAAGTTCTACTTTTCTAAGAATATCAGTTCATTGTCTTAAAAACAAGGCCAAAACATCAAGTACAAGCGATTCAGGCCAGCATAGTGTAAATAGAATAATTCGATTTCCAGAAGACTATTATGTCGGTATCGTTCTCCTTTCCATCATCAAACTTTGTAACACTTTATAAGGTAGGCACCATTACATTCACGTAATAACTCCACGAAGGGCATCTTCAATGCGGGCGCTAACAGGCGGGAGCCAGGATTTATTTCCCAGGCAATGAGCGGTTACGTGGATTAATCCTGGCATCGACCGCTTCCTCGACGCAAAACAAGGAGCCAGGCACTAGGCCCTTTTCCTTCACGAGCCGAGACAAGGCGCTGTTTCCAGTCCGGATGTTTAGCATCGCTAGTTAGCACCTTGCATTGGAATAGACGGCACTTAGCGCTTTTTAATTTTTCTGGGTGTTTTTTTTGAAGGGGAGCCTTGGCGCAGTGGTAAAGCTGGGTTCAAGTCCTGGAAACAGCCTCTTACAGAAATGTAGGGAAAGGCTGCGTACTATAGACCCAAAGTGATCGGACCCTTCCCCGGACCCTGTGCAAGCGGGAGCTACATGCACCGGGCTGCCCTTTTTTTCTGTTTAAGCGTCTAGATAAGCTTTAAATGTTTATTTGTAGATGCCCTACCAAATCCTGGTAGGTGAATTAACGCTCATGTGCCCTCTTTAACTGGTGACTGCTCGGTTCTCCTGAAATCTACATTCAAGTTAAAGAAAAGAGTACGGCTATTAATTTCTATTCCCTCCATCCGGGTTTATTGGGCCCCCTTATATTTTGGGTTCAACTTCGACCATCTATTTGAGTATCAAAATATAAAGTATATGCTACAAAAAGTGTATTGTTGGATTTGTATTTGAAAGAGGTTTTTCCACGATATAATTTTTGTGACATACAGTTTACGTTCTATTGGTCAAATTTATGGTTAAACTTTGGCCCAAAATAAAGGAGCTCCAATAAACCCGGACGGAGGGAGTATTTAAGCATTCATGTATCTTGGAGATGGTATGATGCTAAGAATGTTTCATTTGGGTCAAAATGGAATGCTTACAATCATCTAAACTTGCAGGAAACGACTGAGTTAGCAACCAAGGCTTCCATCATACAATCAAGGGTATTTATGTTACAGGCCAATAAAGTTTGAACAGCATGAATAAGCTTTAAATGGGTGGAATGTACTCCAGACATGCCACATGAGTTGGAAGTTGAGTAAACAAGTACTCCCTCCGTCCCATATTAATTGTCGCTGAAATGGATGTATCTAGATGACTAGATGTATTTCAGTGCTAGATACATCTGTTTGGGTGACAACTAATATGGGACAGAGGGAGTATTTTATTATCCATTATAGACGAAGAGGCCTGATTAACCATGGCACAGTCAGAAGACTGAAATAAATGAGAATGCATCCTGAAACAGCTCGACTCACTATATGTGGATTTACCATCTCTCGAATGTAGTATTAATATGTAAAACAACAAATAGTAAATCATATCTCTCGAATATAGTATTAAGATGTGAAACAATAAATAAATCATATTTTTATGCCTAATTTTTTTACTGAACCAAGAAAAATGTAAGTCTGGAAGAGATACCAATCATAATAAAATAAACCAATGAATGCAAAACAGAAAGAAAAAGCAAGATCCTGCGATTATAATACACTAAAACACAAACACAATGCTTTTGTGAAGGTCACCTCGGGGTGCCTGTGGTCAAGTGCATTTAACATCTCATCCAGCACATCCACAATTCCTCGAGCACTCTGGATCTCACTTAGACTGTAATTCACATTGGACAAGAAAAATGAGGGTAGATCAAAACTAAAAAAGTTCTGCAGGGATGAAAAGATAAACACAATTGCAAGAATACAATCACTGTTTGATATGATTATGAAAATAAGACCTTCAAAAGTACTCCTCCGTATCAAAATATAAGACTGTCAAAAAAAGTCTTATATTTTGATACAGAGGGAGTAAATAATATCTTGTGTGTGCCGTAAACTATAAACTATAAAGCCTTGTCTTTTGTCGCCAGAAATACCTATGCAATTACCAAAGCTTTTTAAACTTAAAATGACCCTAGTTGCATGGATATGAGCCTTGTTGCACAGGGAGCCAGAAACAAATTAGTAGCCAGTGCAATGCTTCATTGCTACTAGCTTGTATGTTTTTGAGTTAAATGTGAGAACCAATGAGGATAGTGCCAACCATAAAGAGTGGAGGTCCACGTACGAGAACAATATGCGCCAACTGCTAAGAAATATCCAAGTTATATAATGTGGCTATGAGAGGTGTAGTGTGTTTGATCGATCCTATTGGTTTGATGTTATGTGTGCATGTTTTGCAACCCTTTTTGCTATGCTTGTTTCAATGAAAATAATCAAAATACGGACTACTCTGTAATTGTTGTTTTATCAGCGCATACGAACTCACATAAACGAGACATCAAGCTAATCACAAACAAGTTTGCAGTCACTAGAAAGGAGGGGGTGCAACCGAGGGAAGCAAAACAAACAAAACAAGGCACACAAGACAAAAGGCAAACACAAATGGGATAAGAGAAGATGAGTGATGCTCGTACTGCATGCAACACTAATAAGTGAACCAACAAAAGGAACCAAATCATAAATCAAATATGCATGCAAATAAATAAATACCTCAGGGGAGGTGCAGCAGGGGTACTAGATTGGAGAGAAGCTTGTATAGCTACATCTTCATAGCTTTGACCTGGAGGATATAGATGTGGCTGCCTCAAAGGTTGAGTCTGAGGAGGTGTAAACAGTGGAACTGTATTCTCCTCGCGAGGCGGAAAATCGACACCAGCTGCCTGCAGAAAGAAAAGGAAAGGCATCCTGATCATGGTTTGTACTGAAGGAATTGCTTAGTAACTCAGCACATTATTGTATATCTACTTCTACTAAGTATGCAGTGAAAATATGAAATGGAGCAGACCAAAGTCATTGGGAAAAAATAGTTATTAAGCAAAAAGCTGAGAATTATATAATTGTACAACATACTCCCTCCATTCCTAAATGTAAGTCTTTTACACATTCCACTATAGAGACTACATTCAGATGTATATAGATGTCTTTTAGAGTATAGGTTCACTCATTTTGCTCCGTATGTAGTCTATAGTGGAATCTCTTAAAAGACTTATACTCCCTCCGTCCCAAAATTCTTGTCTAACATTTGTCTAGATAAGGATGTATCTAACACTAAAACATGACCAGACACATCCATATTTGGACAAATCTAAGACAAGAATTTTTGGGACGGAGGGAGTATTTAGGAACAGAGGAAGTAGATAACAATAAAGAAGTCATAAGTGGAAGGTACCCTGAGTTCTTGGTACGCAGTGTGGTACTGAGGATATCTCCCGGAAGGACCTCCAAAAGCCACTTGCCATGTGTCAATCAGACTCAATATTTTCTCCCGGACGTTTAAGTCTGGCTGTAAAGATAAATATAGAATCAAAACGGAGGGACTTGAATCCAGGAAACAATAGTTAACCATTGAATTAGTATCGCCACCTTTTTCTTTACTATCTTAACCATTTCACTTAGTATATCACGCTCAATGATCTGTTGGTAAACAATATCCCCGCAATTTTTGCTTAGAGTCTCTAACACCTGAAAAAGAGGCAAGATAATTAAATCAGCGAACAAACTAGATATGCACGTAAGAAAAAATGTATACACTGCTTATCAAAACAAATGGATGCACGTGGAAACATAAAACTTAGACGAGACAACATATTTAAACTAAGTGACAAACAGATAGATGCACTTTTTGAAAATGTATGCATTATTAGCAACTGAACGTATGTAGAACTTGTGTATTCCAACAACACCAGGCACATTTAACAAAATTTAGAAGATGTTTTACCAAGTCACAACTCCCAATAGTTAAATATACAAGGAATTTCGTAGTACTCACATAAAGGGCCAGAATTTGCACTTTCGAATTCTTATTCCCAAGGCGCTTCTTTAGGAGCTTAAGTGCATCCTTTGCTTGTCTGCATTTCAGGTCCAGTGAACATTTATCAATATGCTTTGTGTAAAACACGTGAAGATAGCAAGTTAAATTTGAGAGCACTGCCAAAAATTACCGCATTCATAACACTATATAAGACTAAACAACAATGACAGCAATCCAATCCAATATACTAAACTAAGCAATATGCAGCACTCACACCATGAACCGGATTATAAAGTATATATAATCATTAATACAGAGCAGAGTGGCTTCCATTATTCACAATAAGTACACAAATCTCAATTATAATATTAATGGTCACAAGTTTGAAATCACCCTTTATAGGCATATTGACCTTCTTGAGAGCCTTAGGTAATTCCTGCTATCCATAAACTCCGGAAGTTACAACTCACCCCCAGGATAGGGATGAGTAACAAACAGGTTTTATTCCATGTGACTTTGAGTACTCATTGTAAATGCTTCATCGCGAAATATCATGGGACATCAAAACCACAGGTTAACAACAGATACCACTGGTCCATCACAACTTATTCTCTGAGACTGGTGACTGGCACAGCTAATTATCAACAAACTATTCATCAATTAACAAAACACCTTACCGTCCATGCTAACAACCATACAAACCTAATATTCCAGATTCCTAATAAATTACAAAAAAAGAGGCTAGAAATCTAGACGAGCTGCAGATACACCGCAGCAACAATTTTGTAAATAACATATAGTAGAGAACACATGGTTCCACGTGGTCGGACCCTTCCCCAGACCCTGCGCAAGCGGGAGCTACATGCACTGGGGCTGCCCTTTTAGAGAACACATGGTTACACGATGTTTTTCTATTAACAGAAGTCGCACAGGATGGAATGCAACAAATAACGCCATCAATTAAAAAAAACAGCATCAGAACCATACTTAATCTCTCTGCTAGAAAGAACTAGCAGATTAGCAATATTTCATAAGATTAATCCAAACAAATCATGTTCGTGATGAAGGTAAACACAGAGGGGCAGTCTGTTCATACCCGGGATCCATGTTGATGATGTCGCAGAGCTCGATGTTGACGGCCCAGTCGGGGCCGATCAGCATGTCGCTCGTCGCCCTCTCTGCGCAAGACACGGCCGCCGACATTTTCAAACCAGCGGCGCAAACCCAAGACGACGACCACGTCCAAAAACCCTAATCCTGCACCAGACGAAATCCCCTGATCAATCAGCGCCAAGATCCACCAGGCCCCGAAAACCCAACCCCGACTCGATCCCTCCCCTCGACCTAGCTCCTGACCCCAAACCCAGAGAGCCCGAGAATTTTACCGAATCTGAGCGGGGGGGTCGGCGCCAGGCAGCACCGGAGCCGCCTCTCCTCCGATCCGGGGCGATGGGGCCGACGCGCCTCGTGCCAAGACGAGGGGAACGGGGAGTTGGTTCGTGGGAATGGTGGGGGCGGATCAGATTTGGAGCGGACTGGTGTGGGATTGGAGGTGTTCTTGGTGGGAAAGAAAGACTGGTTAGACTGGGTTGGGGTTGGGGAGGTGGGGGAGAAGGGAAAACGCGGGCGGACGGTGGACTTTTTCCGGCGTGAATGTGAGGGCCTGCAATTCTAGACTAGACTAGCGTTTTGTGTTTTTATTATTTCTTTCGTGTTTTTATTATTTCTTTCGTGTTTTGGGGGTTGAAAAATCTTGGCTTTATCCGGTGGTTTGTAGCTCTGGAATCTGGATGGTGAAGGGTTTCAGTTTGTTTTGGCTTTGTTGTTGCTTGGAGCGGGGTCAAAATTGCTTTGGGTGGTTATTTTAAGGTTGTCGTGCGAATTGGGGGTCAGATCGTAGTTCAGCTGTCCAAATGGGATGTTGTTGCAAAGAGCCATGTGATGCAAGGTTTCTGTTTTTGTATGGATGCTTAGGTAGTAAGCAACTCTCATATTTGGTTTGGGGTATGTATGTCAATGATATTATTTATTTATTTTGGAAAACTGTCGATCTATTCATCTTCAATCGTCAATCATTGCAGTACAACGAATACCAGAAATAATAAAATTTACATCTAGATTCGTAGACCACTTAGCGACGACTACAAGCACTGAAGCGAGCCGAATGTGCGTCGCCGTCATCACCCCTCCCTCGCCGGAGCCGGGCACAACTTTTTGTAGTACACAGTCGGGAAGTCGTCGTGCTAAGGTCTCATTGGACCAACGCCTCAGAATAACAATCGTCGTCGATGAAGAGAATTTTAGATCGGAAGGATCCAACCTGAAGACACATGAACAAAGACGAACAAAAACCGGAGCGGATCCACCAAAGACAACCACTGACCAAATCCCACGAGATCCGCCGGAGACACACCTCCACACGCCCTCCGACGATGCTAGACACCATTGGGACGGGGGCTAGGCGGGGATAACCTTATTCCATCTTCAAAAAGTCGTTGTCGTCTTGTCTTCTTGAGTAGGACACAAACCCTAACAAAACTTGAAGAAGCACCTAAAAATGGAGCCCTCTCGCCGGCAAGGATCAGCATCCACCGCGCACCCATGGCCCTAAGGCCACATGAGACGTGGGAGATCGGCAGCGCCGCCGACGAGAGGCAGAAACCCTAACCGCCTTTTCTTGGAAGAGGGACAAAGGGAGGAGACTAGTTATATATTGCAGTAGGACGTTGTCAATGATATTCTTTTCTGCGAGAAAACTTCTCATCAATTCATCAACCGACAAAGTAGTATAAAGAACACCAAAAAAAGGACGTTGATAAGTGCCACACGTGTGGCACGAAACAATTCCGTCCTTTTTTATGGCAACTTTAGTTATCCGGGAATGGCAATTTTAGTTGTGAAGCATGTCAACTTTCTGTTTGGACGACAAGTTTCAGTTTGGGGGGGTTGTATTTTTTTATGGCAATTTTAGTTGTAAAAAACGTGAGGGCGGTGTTACTTCATGCCACACGTGTGGCACTTATCATTTAGGGGAAAAACTACATTTTAGGGTTCTCCTGCCTCCCGCTGGCGCCGCCGCCGGTCTGCCTCATCTTCGGTGGCCTTAGGGCCATGGCGGTGTGGCAGATCTCGGCCCTTGCCGGGGGGAGGGCTCTGTTTTCAGTTGTTCCTTTGTGTTCTGTTAGGGTTTGTGTCCTGCTTAGGAAAATGAGACGACAGTGATGTTTGCTTGAACTACGTCGGTATTTCCCCAAAGAGGAAGGGATGATGCAACACAACAACGGTAGGTATTTCCCTCAGTGATGAGACCAATATTATCGAACCAGTAGGAGAACCACGCAATACAACGTAAACAGCCCCTGCACACAAATAACAAATACTTGCAACCTGATGTGTTAAAGGGGTTGTCAATCCCTTTCGGGCAACGGCGCTAGAAATTGGCACAGAGACGCGATAAAGTTGTAATAGATTGGATAAATGGAACGCATATAAAATAAAGTGCAGCAAAGTATTTTTCTATTTTTGGTTTAACAAAACTAAAAATAAAAGAAAATAAAATAGATCGTGAAGGCAAATATATTAAAGAAGAGACCCGGGGCCGTAGGTTTCACTAGTGGCTTCTCTCGAGAAGAATACCAAATGGTGGAATAACAAATTACTGTTGGGCAATTGATAGAACTTCAAATAGTCATGACGATATCCAGGCAATGATCATTATATAGGCATCACGTCCAAGATTAGTAGACCGACTCTTGCCTACATCTACTACTATTACTCCACACATCGACCGCTATCCAGCATGCATCTAGTGTATTAAGTTCATGGAAAATGGAGTAATGCAATAAGAACGATGACATGATGTAGACAAGATCTATTTATGTAGAAATAGACCCCATCTTGTTATCCTTAATAGCAACGATACATACGTGTCGGTTCCCCTTCTGTCACTGGGATCAAGCACCGTAAGATCGAACCCATGACAGAGCACCTCTTCCCATTTCAAGATAAATAGATCAAGTTGGCAAACAAAAACCAAATATCAGAGAATAAATACGAGGCTATAAGCAATAATGCATATAAGAGATCAAAGAAGACTCAAATAACTTTCATGGATAAAAACATAGATCTGATCATAAACTCAAAGTTCATTGGATCCCAACAAACACACCGCAAAAAGACTTACATCATATGGATCTCCAAGAGACCATTGTATTGAGAATCAAGAGAGAGAGAGAGAGAGGAAGACATCTAGCTACTAACTACGAACTCGTAGGTCTACAAAGAACTACTCACGCATCATCGGAGAGGCACCAATGGACATTATGAACCCCTTCGTGATGGTGTCTAGATTGGATCTGGTGTTTTTGGAACTTACGGTGGCTGGAATTGATTTTCGTCGACTCTCCTAGGGTTTCTGGAATATTTGGGTGTTTATGGAGCAAAGAGGCGGTGCGGGAGGCCACCGAGGTGGGCACAACCCACCTGGGTGCGCCTGGGTCCCCAGGCGTGCCCTGGTGGTTTGTGATCCCCTTGGAGCACCCCTATGGTACTTCTTCGGCCCAACTTGTGTCTTCTGGTCCAGAAAAAAACCACAAAAAGTTTCGCTGCGTTTGGACTCTGTTTGGTATTGATTTTCTACGATGTAAAAAACAAGCAGAAAACAGCAACTGACATTGGGCACTATGTCAATAGGTTAGTACCGAAAAATGATTATAAAATGATTGTAAAACATCCAAGAATGATAATATAACAACATGGAACAATCAAAACTTATAGATACGTTGGAGACGTATCAGCATTCCCAAGCTTAATTCCTGCTCTTCCTCGAGTAGGTAAATGATAAAAATAGAATTTTTGATGTGGAATGCTGCCTAACATGTTCATCACATATTATTTTCTTTGTAGCATGGACATTTGGATTTTTATATGGTTCAAAGCAATAGTCTAGTTTTGACATGAAGACTTTAATACTCAAGCATATCAACAAGCAACCATGTCTTTCAAAATATTCACGCTAAAGTAAGTTATCCATTATGCTCAGTCATTGATCCATTCATGAAACACACTTGAATGCTAGCTATACCCAATGCTCAAATACGATCATAGTGCCCCTTAGTTGGTGCTTTATAAGAGAAGATGGAAACTGAAGTTCAAAAATAAAAAATGTATAAAGTAAAAGAAAGGCCCTTCGCGAAGGGTAGGGATTTGTAGAGGTGCCAGAGCTCAAAGCAAAAATTGAGAGATAAAAACATTTTGGGAGGCATACTTTTCCCACCAACGAAAACGACTTAGAGTTCCCAACACCTTCCATGCTAGATATATCATAGGCGGTTCCCAAACAGAAAATAAAGTTTATTCCTTTTTCCACCATACTTTCACTTTCCATGGCTAACTATATCCATGGGTGCCTTCCATACCAACACTTTCCAAGAAATTTATTATTTGACAACATAAAATAAATTTATTTTTCATTTTGGGACTGGGCATCCCTAATACCTTTGTTGTACTCTCGTGCAATGACAAGTGAATAAACACTCATCGTGAGAATAACACATCTAGCATGGAAATCATCAGCCACCCCTCACCGCCTCGCAAGTGGTACGAGCACACAAAAGAGAAGTTTATTTTGAAAATTGGAGATGGCACATGCAAATTTGCTTAGAACGGCACGGAAATACCGCATATAGGTAGGTATTGTGGACTCATATGGCAAAACTGGTTTAAAGAGTTTTGGATGCACAAGTAGTGAACATACCTAGTGCAAAATGAAGGCTAGCAAAAAGATTGAGAAGTGTCCAACCAAGAAACGAAAAATCTCGTACGCGAGCATTAAGCATAAGTAACACCAAATAATGCACCACAAGTAGGATGTAATTTTCATTGCATAACCATTGACTTTCGTGCTTGCATAGGGAATCACAAACCTTAACACCAATATTCTTACTAAAACATAATTACTCATCAACATGACTCACATATCATATCGTCATATCTCAAAACCATTACTAAGAACCAAGTTTATTTTGTCCAATGATCTTCATGAAAGTATTTATTATATCCTCCTTGGATATCTATCACTTTGGAACTAATTTCATATGTTGCTTTTAATAAGCTCAAACAAATTTAAATGAAGAACATGACCATAATATTTATTTCTCTCAAAATAATCTAAGTGAAGCAAGAGAGAATTTCTCAAAAATTCT